CCCCCCATAACCACCCCATAACCCCCATCCCCACCCCATAACCCCTCCTCCCCCATTGCAGCTTCTCGGCGGCGTCCCAGCAGGACAAGGAGGCGTGGATGGCGGCCATGCGGGGCGCGGTGGCCTCGGCCCTGGCCACTTATGGGGTGGCCGAACGCATTTGGGAACCCGAAGCCAACCGACTGTGCGCCGACTGCGGGGCCCCGAATCCCGACTGGGCGTCCATCAACCTCTGCGTGGTCATCTGTGAGAGATGCGCGGGTAGGGGGAAGCTCGCCCTATATCCGCCCTATCGATTTCTAGGGTGGCCCTATAGGTTTGTAGGGTCGGCTCGGGCTCAGCGGGGTTTTGGGGTCTGTAGGGGAACACAGGGCGTTGGGTCCCAACGTCAGTAAGGTGCGCAGCCTGAAGATGGACAGCAGGGTGTGGAGCGAGGAGCTGATCCAGGTGATCGGGGTGGTTGTGGGGTCGCTGTGTTCTGCCCCGTTGATGTGGGGTCCGTCGGGACCCCGTTGTCGGGATCCCATTGATATGAGCCTCCACCGTGACCCCATTGCCATCACCCCATTGCCATGACCCCGCAAGCACGGCCCCATTGCCATCAACCCGCAACCATGACCCCACAACCATGACCCCACATCCATGACCCTACAACCACGGCCCCATTGCCATGACCCAACACCATGACCCTACAACCATGGCCCCATTGCCATGACCCAACACCATGACCCCACATCCATGACCCTACAACCACGGCCCCATTGCCATCACCCCACCACTATGACCCAACACCATGACCCCACAAACATGGCCCCATTGCAACCAACCCGCAACCATGACCCCAAAACCATGACTCCACAACCATGACCCTACAACCATGACCCCACAACCATGACCCCACAACCATGACCCCATTGCCATGACCCCACAACCATGACCCCACAACCTTGACCCTACAACCATGACCCAACACCATGACCCCATTGCCATGACCCCAAAACCATGACCCTACAACCATGACCCTACAACTATGGCCCCATTGCCATGACCCAACACCATGGCCCCATTGCCATCACCCCACAACCATGACCCCACTGCCATGACCCACCACCATGACCCTACAACCATGACCCTACAACCACGGCCCCATTGCCATCAACCCGCAACCATGACCCTACATCCAAGACCCCATTGCCATGACCCACCACCATGACCCCACAACCATGACCCTACAACCACGGCCCCATTGCCATGACCCTAGAGCCATGACCCACAACCATGACCCCATTGCCATGACCCCACAACCATGACCGCAACACCATGACCCCAAAACCACGACCCCACAACCATGACCCCATTGCCATCACCCCAACACCATG